TGGGTAACAAGGCCTTTAACGTCTGCGCTGTTGTGAGAGATGTGCTAACAGCAACCCTCCTCCTCCACTACCCGTCGTTAGTGAAGATCAACGCGAAGACACCTGCAATGAAGACAATTCACCTATGTGCGGAAGCCTCTGGAGTGACGACGACCAACCTGCTTGCATGGTCACAACGGCTCACAGCGTCAAATGAACACGCCAACACCACCGCCGAAGCCATGACTGAAGAAAATGTAAAGGCCAACGCTGCGTTGAATTATCAAACTGCCTTGATTGAAAGGTTAATTGAGGTCAACCGTAGCCTTGAAGCTCGAGTTAACTCGCTAGAAGCTGCAATGAACAACACCGAAGGGGAAACTTTAGCACGAGATAATCAAGCCAAGCGAGTAAGAGACGAAGATGAAATCGTACCAGTAAAGCGTCGCCGTCGATCCAAGACAATACCGCTTGTTGACACGTGGTTTGCGTGGTACACGGCTGCTCCGCGTGGATGGCAGAGTACTAATAAGCACAAGAAATCGGATTCCAAGCAGCTCGTGGCCTTCATGAGGCTCTTCATCGAAGACGGGTACGCGCTCGACGAGTTACCATCCAGCTACAAAGATACAGTACGGCAGCTCGGAGAGTAGCGTCAAACAAAGTCACAGTGCTCCTAGGCGAGCAGGGCGTACCGTCAAAGGGATCCAACGGTGTGCTTAAGGGTCTTCGGCAGATGCACCGCGAAGGCAAGCTGAATAGTCTCATCAGTGCCTACCATCAGCGTTTTACCATCGGCAGAGTTGTAGACCCTACACCAACACAGCACCAAAGCATGCTCAAGCTGCTCCCGTAACACAATCCAATCTCTCTGTGTCCTTGTAGCTGGGTCTTATATCATGTCAATCATGTAGAGACCTGCAAGGCATTCGAGCATAAATTTTTTACTCAATGGGTGGGATTTGGAATCACCTCTTTCTCTTTCGGAGCTCTACCATTGAGCTAAATCGTGGGGTTAGACAACAACAGCACAGGGATACTCATCTGGGTGCTCGACGGGGAATTAACGGTGATCCACTGTTCTTTGTGGCCGCGACATACCCTCTTAGGTGTACCGATGCGCGGTACGCCCCCCTCAATTCACCGTTCCAGGTGGTCAATCGAGCACTGAGCTTGCAGGGCAAAATGGCGCAGTCAATATTGCACCGGCGCCACTCGTTTACGAGGAGTAGTTACGCTCAATGAACCAATTAGCGCGCTTTTACGAAACCTCCAAATTTAGGTATTAAGTACGATATATAAATTTTGCGATACGTCGGATCGGAGTGGGAAGTGGTTGGGTGGGTGCGAGTCGTTATAAATTGGGAAATGTCCCACAGAGGGTTTTTCTTTTTCCCCAAAAAAAATTAAAACCCCTTATAAAATTTTTAAATAACATTCCAGAGGGGGTCCCAAGTTGCATAACTTTTAATCATATTTTTGTCGTTATATGTCAGCTGCAAGTGCATGGTAACGCCGCTTCGATTTGCTTACTCGTTCTTAACCATGTGCTCAATCAGGTCCAGCACACGCGAGCTGTATCCCCACTCATTGTCATACCACGACACAAGCTTCACGAAGTCATCTGTCAGGGCAATACCGGCCTCGGCATCAAAGATCGACGAGTGCGAGTCGCCGATAAAGTCGCTCGACACCACAGCCTCCTCTGTGTAGCCGAGAATGCCCTTCATCTCGTTCTCACTGGCCGACTTAATGGCAGCCTTAATCTCGTCGTACGAAGCAGGGTTCACCAGACGAGCCGTCAGGTCCACCACAGACACATCAGCAGTCGGCACACGGAACGACATGCCCGTCAGCTTACCGTTCAGGCTCGGGATCACCTTTCCCACAGCCTTAGCAGCACCAGTAGAGCTTGGGATGATGTTGAAGCAAGCGCCACGACCACCACGCCAGTCCTTCTTGGAAGGACCGTCAACTGTCTTCTGCGTGGCAGTCACAGCGTGGACAGTCGTCATGAGGCCTTCCTTGATGCCGTACTTGTCGTTCACCACCTTAGCCAGAGGGGCCAGGCAGTTTGTCGTGCACGAAGCGTTCGACACCACGTGCATGTTCTTCTCGTACAGCTCGTGATTCACGCCCATCACGAACATGGGGGCGTCACTGGACGGAGCCGAGATCACCACCTTCTCCACGCCGTTCTTCAAGTGGGTCGATGCCTTCTCCAGTGTCGTGAAGGCACCCGTGGACTCCACCACGTATTGCACCTGCTCCTCGCCCCACTTAATATTCTCGGGGTTCATCTCGTTGAACACACGGATAGGCTTGCCGTCCACGTAGATATTTTTCTCGTCGTGATCGATCTTACCGTCGAAGCGGCCGTGCACGGTGTCGTACTTCAGCATGTATTCCATGTACTTGGTGGCGATGAAGGGATCATTTACGGCTACGACCTTGATACTAGGGTTCTTGGCAGCGGCGCGAAGCACGAGGCGGCCGATGCGACCGAAACCGTTGATGGCCACGTTTA